AGTCCAATGTAAGTAGCTTTGATATTCAATGTCACATGGTTGAATGCCTTTAGGACTCGGCCAAGTTCGATGACCAATTTATATGACTCCTTGAATAACGAACGACGTCCTTATCTGCCGTTTCCGTGCAATAACTGCAACAAATGTTTACCGATTTTCCTTAAACTTGGTAACAGGGTTAAATGTCTTCAGGGCTCGGCCAAGTTTGATGACCATCTTCAGCTGACTTTATTTGGCGGAGTTATGGCCCCTTGAATAACTATAAACATTATTATCTGCCGTTTCCGTGCAATAACTACAACAATGTTAACCGATTTTCTTCAAACTTGGTCACAGGGTTAAATGTCTTACGGGCTCGGCCAAGTTCGATGACCACCCTCAGCGGACTTTATTTGGCGGATTATGGCCCCCTTAAATAACGAAAAACGTCATTATCTGCTGTTTCTGTTAACTCTTGCAAATAGTATCCGATTGTCTTCAAACTTGGAAACAGGGTTCAACGCACTGAGGGCTCGGCCAAGTTTGACAACAGAGAACAACTACTCAACTATGTCAACCAAGTTTGACATTAACAAGGTTTAATGTCTCAACAGCACGATACTCACATGTTTAAACCTAACATCAATAATGTTTACCTACAATATGTCCTGAAAGCGGGGGATATAAATTCCATGAATTTGCTTGTTTGAACACATTGTCGAATAATATACAAATAAATGTCAGCAATGGGACGAATTAATGAAAGTCGATAGCATTGGTCGAATAAACAATCAGACTTAAACTCGATGGCAGTACATACTTACATTACATAACTTACAACTCATGAACGGCTCACGACTAGGCAAATAATAAACTGAAATATTCCGACTTTCCTATCGCTGATTTTCCCTTCTGGATAGTAACATTCATGCATTGTACCTTCACATGTCGCAGTTGATTCGATATTCATAGACTGGCATACAATGTCACGATTACCGTGATATATGTCGAAATGTGACAACACCTTACAATTGAAGGGATTAGGAGACGATGATTGATGGAGAATATGGTTGATAACGACAAACGAAAAGTTGTATGGCCATACTCATCAGTTCATATTTCGATAAACCAAATCCTTGTGCAGTTTGAATACTGATTGCCTGATGATGTTGTTCTCTGATCAGCACTTTAAGAACGTGATATTGCTACCATTACCAAGATTTACATGATTTACATGAAAGATGCTGACGTGGCGCGTTTAACGTTTTGAAATATGAAACAAAGAAAATATAACTCTTGATAACCATAACCTTCAGTAAGGTGGTGGAAATATGTTTGACGACTCGAAACACGTTCTTATCTAAATTGCTGAATTGTCTAGTGTGCGTTTTTATATCCAGTACAGCGACGTATAGCAAATACTCGGAGAGCAATTCATCATCCCCGAGTAGTTGTTCTTGGGTAGTAGTTAAACTTGTGCCGTGTATAACCTAGATTCGTATATTCCTCATACCGTGCTTCAGCATCGTTATGCTAATAAGATAAACTGAGATGTAAATCAGCAGACGCCGCGCTTTGTGATGAAGTATATGAAAACGGACTTCGCAAAGATAAGCTATATCGAGACAAATTGTTTTTGTAAGTATTGTAATGCGGCCGACCGCGGCCTATAACACCTCATGTTACAACGAGGCAACAACTATCGTTCTGAATATTTTTTCTCAATTCTCAATTTCACTGAAATAGGTCACATAAAATTCAGGACGAGATACACAATGCCATCACATTGCAACAAAGCCCTTTAAACTATATCCCGCTTATTAATTATTTATGTTTATGTCTATATGATAATAAGGATAAATCCCTAGGTTCAGGGGCTGCTGAGGGGTCTTACCAACTTAAATTATTATGATTATCATTTATATACTACTGTACACCACCTATCGGTAACTTTATAAATTCATTATCATTGGTTGTCATTATGAGAAGAAGTTGGGAATGACTTGAGAACAACTTAAGAAGAACTTTAGAACGGATTTTCCCATTCCCCAGAACTTGGGAACGTATTTTTTCAAAAAAGAACGTCTGCTCGTGCCAGATGACGCCCGAAACCGGAAATAGTGTCCACACAAAAGTGATCCACAAAAGAAAATAGTCAGTCATAAACTAAACATATCAATACAAAGATATTGTTTGAATAACAATACCATTTCAGGGGAAAATGTGCATATGGAAAAGCCAATAGCGAAAGGATTGCTTTAACATTATTTTTCTACGTAGTTTTAAGGTTCATTGTATTCCTTTGCGCAAAGGTTATATTTGTTAACGTTTGTCACAGGCGATTGCTTACCATTGAGCTTAGAAGTCATTTGGAAAACATGGTGTTTAGCTGAGTTTTTTAAATGGAGAAATATATAAGGTAGTAGTATATAGATGATAAATAGTTTATCATACATGCGGTGGCCTCTATATTTGATCTACGTGCGAGCGATAAGAAAATTGGAAAATATAGTGTGATACTCTATAATTATCATACCATACAACTTGTATCTAAACCTAAAATCAAGCAGGTCCCGGAGAGCAATGTTTGAATGGTTAATAATACGCTTTAGCTAAATCAGAATAAGNCCCCCCCCACACACACACACCAAAAACAAAAAACAACTCGAGAACAAGAAATATAATTTAATGCTGATGGTAAGCAATATGACTTTTCACACAGCCCAATCAGTGAGTGATTCGGGTTTATGATACGACAGATCGTTGACTTTGGATAACAGGGTAACAATATTGTATTCATACTATTTTCCATGTCGAAAAATTCGATACCTTAGGAAGTTCACATGAATCAATGCAAATATTAGCGATACTGCATTCCGTCTATTGATTACATGTAAGGCACCGATCCCCTGATCAGAGGAAGGTTCCGATGTAGTCCATACAAGGTACTAAATGGAACAGATTATTGTTATTTCAAAGAGCCAGTTACTATGCCAAAATGATTACTGATGTCAGAATTCATGGTGTCCAAATATGACCTACTGTGATAGATAGGAATAGTTGTATCTCCCTGCTAAAACTAATCGTCGCGTTCTATAAAGTGTGAAAGAATAGAGCCTTTTAAAGTTTCATTTAAATTTTCAGCGCTGGCATTTGGCTTTTGATACTGTACATCAGTAACACTCATGTTGACAAGGTAGTGTATTTTTTTTACATCATAACAAGGTAGGGCTACAAAAATAAGACAATAAATATTGATGCAAAAGCGGATGTCGATGCGATGCTTATAAACCAAAATTTATTGAAATACGATATTCATATTCCAATCACAAACCACCGTGGCCATCTTGGTTACACACTAATGCAAACTTGTGAGTGCACACGAACATAGTCATACCAATACTGATGTGAAATTGCATTGAAACTGACCAGTAATTTCCAAGAATATGATAAGAGGAAGACACTGAGTAAAATCCGATCAGTCCCAAAACAGTGTTTATGGGGACTAAATTATATTTCTTTACAACTCATAGAGATTCCTGAGATCGACCTCGTAACACATGATACTAGAACATACATAAAATAAATCGGATTTCACTATAATACAAGTCGCCCATTATTTAACAAAAGGGTTTAATCAACTAATAGGGAAACTCGTTTTGTATTTCAAGGTTTACTCATAACTGACAACTGATGTTTTCAAGATATTAATATTTCCAAAGCCATACACGAATTGTTAACATACTCTACATTGTATATAAGTTGTTTCAAAAAATAACATTTGTTGATGTGACATATATAAATTTATGTTAACATTATTTGATGTGGTATGTAGCGAGTTTTAATCAATATTTTGTTGCGACTTGTAAAAAACTATTTATCTGATTGCTGCTCTTATTTACACATTTTGCATACGTAATACGATACATTTCGTTTATCATGCTATTATACTTTATAAGTGACATCCTTTTTTTAGAAAAGGCAATGGCAGATTGCAGCTAATTTAGTGTAAGGACGCCATACTTTAAATCCGAATCAAAGTATAATAAAGCACATGACGAATCGAGCACTAGACCTCTGATAGCCTCACTTTATCATATTATGTCCATAACCCTGTTCAATTTAAAAAAATGTATAATTATAAAGAAAATGCAGTAAAATACTCCTATTTATATTTTTACTGATTTGGAAATAATTCGATTTTTGAATTTCACATTATAATTAATATTTTGATTATTTCCATTAAATGGAATAGCAAACAGTAGGAATTGTCAGCCATTTCCTACACTACGATTGTGACGTCACAAATACAATGACGACGCGATCCCCACAACTGGGCCCGTATTTATGTAACCGTTCTCATGCTCAAGCATGGAGTTTGTGCTCAAGTCTACATTCTTGTTTCAATAATAAATTAATAAGAAAGAATATTTTTCTTTAATTATTTGGAAACAAAAAATTGAAGAGACTTAAAGCCGAATACTGTTTTCAATGTTTACATTGGACATATTTTTACATGAATTAAGTGGTTATCAAGAAAGCTGGTTTGAGCACATAATCCTTACTTGAGCATGAATCGGTTTCATTAATATGTGCCCAGGTCTCATCAATCACAGCTGACTAAATTCTGTTGATGTAGTGGCAAATCTACAGGACATATAAAGCATACATTTACAAAAGTGTCATATGTTTTGTTTTGCTAAATATATATGCGACTGGGAAAAAAATCTGTCTGAAATCACGAAAAAAACCGATTTGCTATTCTTAGCGGATAGGCTTATCTCCTTATAAAATCAGTCAGTGAAAAATCTGAAAAAGAGTTATGGATTACATTACTGATTGCGTAAATGAGTGATTAATAAACATATGATAACACAAATATGTGAATTGACAGGTGAACTAGACAGGTTATGTCCGTGAATTCCATGTCCTAGAAAATGAATTAAGACTAATGATATTATAACAAAATATATCACATATCCAACCATTGTTAACCCTTTCACCACTGTAGACCATAATGGACTCATCCAGATCAATGCATGGTAGAGTCTACTAAAGTTACATAGGGTTGAAAGGGTTAAGCATATCAATTTTAATATGGATGTGGAATCCTCAATAGACAATAGGTGTTGTGTTGTGTCTACTTTACAGTAATACGAGGTACAAATTACGTCCTGACCTGTTAACCTGTTTAAGTTCTGAATTAAATAAGAAGTTTATCGTTCTTACCATTTACTGGATTTACACATCAAATTTTGTAAATTTGAACAAAAACTGAAAGCACTTTTCTACGATGTTCTCTGAACTTATATTGCGTACTACTTCTAACGACGTACCTCACACGTATACCATGTTTTAATATTGACAACACTTTCTCGGGTCATACACTGCATGCGCAAAGTAAGCATACGCTTCATATATAAACATATCCGATTCCACTTTCTTCTCGAGATGGATATTTTCACTGTTATCATGGTAAGACATAACAACAATCTCCTGCATCCAACGTTAGAGATTCTATACATTCCTGTCACCAACTAAATTGATGAGCATGTTTTTCGGTACGTTGTCACCATATTGGTAATCTTTGTGAAAGTTTCTGCCTTCAATCGGACCCCAGTCACTATCTGGTTCGCTTGCACGTTTCATTCGCTGCAATTACAACACATATTAGACGTTAACAACGAACGTGAAAAACACTATTTTATTTGCATACAAAAGAAGTATAATTCACACTATCCATAGCTCACTCTTTAATGTGAGGATGACTTTGTTTGCTTTAATAAATCGTATTAATTTATAGATGAAAGAAAAAGGAAGTTTATCATATAAATTATTAAGAACATGATCTGTCAAATATATTGAGTAAGATATGTCATATCTTTAAGTTTCCGTATCTGATGCACGAGCAAAAGAGTGTTAACTAGGAAAGACATATACATGGAGATTAGAACTGCGATCGAGTCTGTATTAAATGCAACATTTGACATCAAACATTGCTATCATTTTCAGATTATACGTGTCCTAAGTATCAAAAGCCCTATAACTCAATACTTAATAACCTAAATATAAAATCAAACAAACTAATGACAGCTCAAAACTGAAAAAAAATGTTTGCACCGAAGATTCTCTGTTCTTGAAGAAAGCAAAACGTTTTCCGTGATTACCTGAACAAATGATCCTTTTTTCTTCCACAAATGAGCGACGGCAAATATTGGGATTGGAAGTAAAGGAATGAAAGCAAAAATATTCCCTATGGCAGCCGCGTAATCTGGATAGGTGTACTGCGCCGTATTAGGTGGTCCGTACTGGGTCAGGATCCCAAGGAACACAGTCTGCAACATAATTCCAAGTCATATTCAATAGCAAATATTATGTGTAATCTTTCGCACTGTAAGAACATTATGTATATTTGTTTATTTAAAAAAGTTATCAAACCTTATTGAACTCACCAATAAAATCGTAGGAGTGATGATACACCAACATACTCTTAGAATCATGGGTACAGGTCGGCCGAGCATCATCATGATGTCTCTACTGAACCTCTCAGCACCTGCACACAAAACCCATATTTAATATAATTGTAATTAGAGATATATGTTGGTCTAAAATAGTGTTATACTTTGTAAAACAGGTGGACCGTCTCCTGTCTCTTGTTAACATGCACAGTGTTACCCAGCGTACAGAGGTAAATGTATTTAGATTTAGTTTATGATTGGAGTGTGGCAAGTTTAAACTTAACAAAGGATAACGGTCGTCTTATAGCTTTGTCCTTGAGGGAATTTCCCTTAAATTGCTCCATCGATAGAGCGGCTGACTGAGAAGCTAGGGATCGCTGGTTACTCTCTTGCCTGTTACAAATGGTGCCTGTGGCACACCCTATATTGACAAAGAGTCAGCAGGAGCAAACACATTTCATTTAGATAAAGGTGGAAAATTGCCGCAGGTCTTAGTTTTATATAGATCACTGGTGAGACAACAGTACTATCTTTCCTGTTACAGACGGAAATTGTGTCTTTCCATACATCCAGGCCAGATATGAAATGTGTTATATATTTTTTGAAGACCATGGGAGATAACCTACTCGAAGCCTACTAACCATATATCCAGCTGATGACTATACACTCGAGGAAGGATCCGAGTACAATACACAGAGCTGATGCGTACCAGTCGATGAGTTGAAATATATAAATTCCTCCCTGAAATATAAAGTAAACATTTGTTAGGACAACTATAATTGTTATTGAAATGGAACCTCCAAAACGATTGTCACGCTATATGTGAAGTACCCATGTTCAGGCACAATAAGCATATAACATAATATACTCATCATTTTTAAAAAGTACACAATTATCATATCGTCACAGCGTCGAACGCATAGACTTGGATCAGGTGTTTTTAATGAAAACTATTTTCAAACCAATATCTTGATGCAGTCTCCATCAGATGTTAAAAATCGGACCAGTCATTTATGATTTACAAACGATTTTCACGACGTACCGAATATAATACATGTGTATACTATTAACAAAAACTCTACAATAACAAACAAACTTCAACACTAAAGGACCGACCGACATTCAGACTTCAGTATTCTGTTGCACAAAGGTATAGACAAGCCAAATATGCACACTAGTATGCTTACATCAATGACAATATGCACCAGAGGTATTCTCACCTGCGTTGTAAACGGCAGACCCAGAATAAAAAGTATAACGCTGAGGGCTGCTGTCAGTTGGACTTTCCTTTCCTTTAGGACAGATGGGAAGGAGTCAACGAGCCCACTGGATACCGTTTCGAACATGCCAAACTTAAAAAAATTGTATATATATATATATATATCTTATAACTGAGAGAGAATATAAGTAAAACATGGAACAGAAAATTACACATTCAGGTTATGAACCCAGCTTTACTTGAATAACATTAATGTTATTAAACTATATAAAACTACAAATGAAACTAGGTTTGCAGCAGTTTAGTTAGGTGAACATCTCCGTGGAAACAATAATTTAAGCAGGTGCTCTAAACTACATGTAATTATAATTTACATAATACTAAATCAATCTGATTTTACAATAGATTCAGACTAACTTACTTTTGCAATCGAAGACGTGGAAATTGGTAAAACAGATATAGTAGTACTAAAGAACGCAAATGTTATCGGAAATAGAATGATTTCAAAACAAAACATGATTCTTATGGACAATGAAGCAATGTTATTGTGTTATTGTTCTTGATCCCCTAAATACAATCAATATAAATATAATACTTATTCCGTAACGCAAGGTTACGTATTATTACCTGGCTGTCTATGCCTACTGTGATCAGCATCAAAAAGAACAGTACACCCCACAGGTGTGGGAGAGGCAGCTTCATGATTGCTTCCGGGTAGGCTACAAATACGAGGCCGGGACCTGGTACAAGATAAGGATATATTAGTTTCCCGTTATATTCCATTTCAAGCATGATCTAAACTGATGCATGTTGCACTTCCATGAAATTAAGATTGTAAGAACAAATAAAATATGTAAGAATTAGTGTTGCTTTAAAACCGTACATTGGACGGTCCATGTATGTACAGCCACATATATAGACTTATTGGGAGAGGTAAAACATAGTCGACATAATCAAAGTACTACGCTATGTTTTATCATATTACCATTATCCTGAGAAATGCAATGTTAGATAGCACCTGCCTATAAACTTAACACACCAAAGCAGTAATCAAAACGAACTGAACATTTCTAAAACAACCATATAGATATTTAATCTATTTAAGACTCATTCGTTCTACTTCATGTCGAAGGAATGACGATTTGTCCAGTGTTCTAAAAAAAACACGCATGCGTCTACTACAAGCATGAGACAAAGTCTCTATAATGTACAAACACAAATAAAGCATGTGCCTATTATGTGCACGAGAGACAAAGTTTATGTTTATAGGTACATGTACAATAGATGCCAATTATGTGTCTGGATCATACAACCGTAATGACAGCTTGATTTGATTTTTTTTATCATAGTTGCATTGAATGTAAGTCAATATACCTCGACTATACTATGTACTTACAGAAGCAACACATGAGACTATTGCGTGTAATCATAATTAATGTGTCTAATATAAACAAATATATGCAAGGTAAGTGTTTATTATGTACAGGGACCAATGATAGATCAATTAAACATATCAATTAGTATGAGCTTCGATTGTTTTACTGGGCCGGTTTGCTAGTTAACCATACGTAATACTGAGTACACACCAGCTTCAGCCACCTCCTCCATGGTAAGTCCTGCGTCGTGCGCCATGAATCCAAGGATTGAAAACACGACAAAGCCAGCATAGAAACTGCTCAGTCCGTCAGCAAGTGTCCCGTACATTGCATCTCTATAACAGGGACAGGGATATTGTTAATATACCAATGGCTAGTTAGCGAACAATGTCTTTCTTAACATCAACAGCATTGCGTTGTTTCTATTTAAAACTTAAGCATTCTTAAAAATGATTTATTTTTTCTTAATTAAAATACTCTGATACGTCTTGATATTCACAAGCAAAATTTTTAGAATGTTTTGAAAATGACTTCGTTCACGTTACTGAATGTGCACGGAAGAAAACAAAAGAGTGTTTCTGAAAACGTAATTACTTTCTGAAAGTTCATTGGTTAACTTAAAAACGTTTACCAATATCCAGCATTATTAATTAACATAAAATGGCCTGAAGAATATTTCAGATTTATTTCATGTCATTCCAGCGCTTATGATGGTAAGCCTAGTAAATAGCTTGTAAAACTCACTTAATGGGTTGTAATTTTTAGTAACTTGTTTCCTTAATAGTTTCATTTTTTACAGTAATGAAGAAAGTTCATCAATAAATCTTTTTTTGATTTTTGGACCATTTTGTTTGATTTGAGTGTCCTATTCCATTTCGTTTTGACGCATAAAACGTTATCATTATTTCTAAATGAGGATGACGTGATCTGGTAAAATCCGATTTCAAAAACGTTTTTTAATTAAAAGGAAATTAATCAATCGAAGTTTTTTCAATTGTAAAGCATTGCTGAAGTATCGAACATGTCTAGCAATGCTTTCTCATTAAAACATATGCTGATAAATTTCCTGATCGTTCTTTAAACCAGGGTCACTCTTCTTTGAACGTATTTACTAAACATTGACGTATTCAGATTTGCATGCATTGAGCCTGATAATACCGGAAAAATAATGTAAAAATTTGTCTGTTATATTCTATAAACACTATTGTTGTTTTTAAAAAGGATAAAAAAAATGTTTTAAGGCTTGTAATTTTGGGAATAGATAACCAAACTAATTTCTAATCATCGTTTATTGTTATTTTCTTTTTCTTAAATCAAAAATAATTTCAGGTTCACCCGTCCACACAATCTTCGTACGGTATTATCATTGTTGAACAACCTGCATAAAAAAATCAGGATTTTTTTGGGCAAACTACATGCGTTATCTGAATACAAGGAAACACTGGAGACATAATGAAACTAATCTGATATATGAATTCAAATTTTGTTTTCAATCATGGATATCCTTATAACAAGCACAACCTAATGAAATACGGTAGGCATAATTAAACTAAAACAATCTTTAAATTGACCCTTGCAAAATTTAATTTCTGCAATATTGATTTATTAAAAATCCATGCTTGGGGAAAAAAGAAAACATCAAAATCAATGGGATTTGTTTTGAAAAAGATTGTTCGTTCTTTTAATGCATGCATATTTTCAAAATATGATGGACGCATTGATTTCTAATGTGTTCCAATACCATATTAAATGACATGTAAAGCATTGATTTCTAATGTGTTCCAATACCATATTAAATTACATGTAAGGCATTGATTTCTAATTTGTACGAGTACCATATCTAACGACTGGATAAGGCCACAACAGGTCTGTTTACAGCACGACATCCTCGAGAACAAACCCCCTGTATCAAAATTGGATTAAACAGCATATTATTTTGAATCAATATAACGAAACATGCGTCGAACGTTATTTTATATAACAAAACTAAATAAAATATGTAGTCTAGCCTTGAATCAAATTCTACAAAGAGGAGAATATTTTCTCAGGGCCAACCCCGTTACGTACTTTACAAACCTATTAGCATTATTTTCCTAGCAAAAAAATCCGATGAATCACGTTTCTATGGGTTATCCAACAGGAAGCCTTTTCGATTTTTCGAAGAAATGAATATGCGGACAATATCAGTGTTCCAATTATGCGAAATATACCGTTCACCAATAATGGACAACACACTAATGGAACATTCATGACGTCACAGCGACCAGAGTGAAATTTACATTGCATTTTTATTTGATTACTTGAAACCCGTATTTTTAGCTTCATATTATTTTAATTAATCAATACTTTGTGTGTGAAATTACATTCGTGAATTTAATCTTTGTTCTGAAGTGAAATATCATGCAATACATTAACTACAGCTTTGCTCTGTAGAGAGCATTACTGAATGATAATTAGAAAATGTTCTTTTAGAAAATCATCAAATTCACATTTTGGTAAAGTTATGAACTTTTCAGAAGTAATTAACTGGATTGTCTTTTACAGAAATGGAATATATAAATAACAAGAGTACCGCGGGGCGGAATAATATACACTCGTCGAATGTCATATATTGTTAGATACTTTCTTATATTGTAATAAGATCTGAATCCTTCTAAGAGTGGTTAGCTGACATGCTATAAAAAATGTAGGAGAAAATATCCGGACAATAAATCAAATACTGAAATGAACAAAGGGCAATAACTTTAACAAATATCGTCGAATCAAAATTCTTTTGAGGAAGACACAACTTCATATCATGATTATAATGTATACCAAGTTTCAAAGAGAACGGTCTAACAATGTAGGAGGCGATTGCCGGACAAAAATCAAATACTGAAATGAACAAAGGGCAATAACTTTTGGAAAAATTGTTGAATCGAAATTCTTTTAAGGGATACACAACTTCATATCATGATTATAATGTATGCCAAGTTTCAAAGAAATTGGTCGAAACATGTAAGAGATGATTGCCGGACGGACGGACGGACGGACAACCCCATACCATAATACTCACGTCAAATTTGACGGGCGTATAAAAAGTAAATAATTACATACGACAACAAATATCTCTATCAAGATATAACTTCTCTGGTAATTAAATAAACTAAGCACGCATAAAATGTTACTGCACACAAAATTCAAAACAAAATATAAGTGTATTCCTCTCTAAAGGATTATGTGTAAAATAAAAAAAGCGTGTGTGCTCATTTAGAGTCAATCTATATTTGATGAGTCACTAAATGGGTGTTGGGGAATATGGAAGAGGGACATACTACTGAAGCCAATAATGCCATTCAACGTATGTTTGTGTCGTTATTGTAATGCGTGTCGCACTCGCTACTAAGTCTGTAGTAATAACGCCGAAGTTACCTTAAATAAGACATAGTTATTTCGACATTATCATTAAGTGTATATCAATTATGATACAGCTATCTCGTAATTACGACGAGGCTATCACGTAATATGTCTGGTCATATAGTTGCACTTTAGATTATCAGTATTTCCTCCATTCCTACAGTATTTTCATATCCGTAGGCATACATACACGGGCCTTTGAATTGTATGTTGTGAAATGGTGTTATTGTGTGCGTGTCCGTATATTGTCTTTTAATGGGGTTAATTATCCTCGCGATAGTTCGCGTATAGTCTATTACCTCCAATGTACTTGGTTAATGGTTTATTACATCTTGTTTTAGTCCATGCAGGAGTTTTTCCCATAATGAACAAAACAAAAAGGACTTATCTGTTGCATGAAATATAACCAAAAGAGTCAATCTGATATAATGCCAATAGCAATCCTCAGCGAACTTGCTTTTGATCTTCTTATTAAGTCTTGTTCAGTTATAGCGTAAATCATGTCAATTAACGAGATATTACTACGTCATCGGAATGCGGTAATTTCGAGATACGTATACGTATTTACTGTGTTATAATTACGAAATGAAAACATTACTTCGAGTGGCATTTACCGGCTTCGTAGCATACAGTACAAATACCGGTTAATATCAAATTTGAAACCATATACATATATACTAATCCTTTTCATAACAAATTATGAACAGGTGATATATAGGATTTATCAAACCGATTTCATTTGATATATTATTCATAAATGAATTAAACGGGATAGGGTCTCAATAAGGCAATATTTTTTATATCAACCGTCTCCAACATTCGTCGATACGCATGGTAGTTAATGCCGTGCCCCAGTCCGCTTATCAAAAGTGTATTCATACAATAGATACACTATTGCAATGTATACATTCATATGACGTCATATTGTTTACGGCGTCTGAGGCTGTATTCTTTATTCCTTTTACACGTGTGTTCGTTTTATAATGTTGGATTTGATGTGATGTGATGTGAATACCTAGAAAAACCAAACAATATGCAGTTTTCAAATAAATACATGCAAACGGAGAACAAAAGACTTCACCATTCATTAATATCGGCACTTCAACAACCACGGCCGCGATCGGTATCAACGGTAACAATGAAGATGTTTTGTGTCTTTAGACTACCATTGTGTATGTATAAGAATAGCCAAATGTGCAATACAATATATTAAACCTGTCAAAAGTTGTTTGTAACAAAATCAAGAATCACGGTCGATAGTTTTCATTTTGCAATGTTCATCGTTCTATGACCATTTTTAACCCTTGTAGACATTGAAGACCTCTACATTTTCCGTTTTGCCTGGCGCACCCGATAAAAGACAAAACTCAAAGGCAAAGGCACCGAGATAAATGCAACAGACATCACTTCCAAGGTTTTCCGTTTATTTTTCATCCTTCCGGAAGTAACCGATGACGGCCGATGACGTATGACGTGTTTGTGACGTCGCCGGTCACTTTCTTTTGTTTTGTTTAGAGGGTTCATATATCAGCACATCCAAACATAAACAATCTTAATGATGAATACATAGGTGCACTAGGCGACTTTTAACGAAGGAATATAATGTAGGCTCCTCTCAGGTCACGCGATCACTTTATGTACATCAGGGTACCGTGTGTTGGCGGTATATGTAACTAGTGATACACATCGTTGCTGTAGTGAATAAAGTAACATACTTTATTTTGACAGAGATATTTTTTTTATGTATTTAAAACTTGGGGACAGCATTAACCACAATGCGTATAATAAACATAAGTAAATAATATGTGAGAAAGAGAACTAAATGCAAAAATCATATGTAAGTCTTAATAATTAAAATCTATTTATCACGTGTGTAATCATATGTTTCAAATTCCTACCTCTGTCTTTATAAAATGGAAATCGCCTGTAAAAAATGCATCAATGGTCAGCTGGTATAATTTACATATTCCTTTCAGAAACAGTAATAGCTCAGTCTCAGTTACGCTCTCTGTCAAACCGCTCAAGCATATCTGTTCATATATTCATGAAAGTTACTTGATACGATGTGCTTGATATAATTGGGTTTTACTGTGAACATATTATCTAAAAATTAACTACGGAGATATGACTTCCCTAAATCTTCAATGCTGTTACAACTGTAAACCAGTTAGCCGAGAAACATCATCTTTTTTTCTTTTTTTACGTCATAAATATATATAAATACATATTGCAGTAAAACCGTGTAAACCTCTCAAAGAAAATCCATATTTATTTCTGCATTAATGAAAAGTAAATAAAAACGGTTCATACATGCTGAAAAAATCCGTAGGAACTCATTGTTGATAATTGATTTAAATGCGCGAGACCGTTAATAAAATATATCAGATACGTCTTATGACATGAGTCATATATTTCATACATTTTTTAGATACGCAGAGACACATTTTGAATACATAATTGATATTGATAGCTGCCATGTGTGACTGGTTTATAGTATTACATAGGTAGCTTAATTGTTTACGTAGTATGCATCAGTTGAAAAAGAGGATGCATGTATATTTCTTTTTCATAATGCGATAGAAATACATGATTACATAATAATCTGCATTGTTGTCCTATCTTCCTTATTACTTATCAAAATGAAATAACATTTTCACATTTATATAGCGTTATGAATTTTGATATATTTCAATGTCTAACGTTTTTGTAAAGAAATCACAAAATAATAATTTAAAATAGCAACAGCACTCGATTTTGCTTGCGACATTATTACAGTTTGGGTTTTTTCTCGCTGTTTTTTTACATGTATTTGTAAATGTTTTGATATTGAAATTACACAAAATGTATAGACAACAATCGCTCTATGAAAAAAGATGTATACGGCAAAATGATAAAAAGATGCCATGCGCCAAAAATATGACAAACTTACTTTAGACAGTTGCTTCTGAATTTGCTGTAGCTAGACATTGTGATAAGAGAACCCCAGGCTGGTCCTAGGGAGAAAAAGACTTGGACAGCTGCCTCAAGCCAAACCTAAAATATCAAAAGCAAAATATCAATAAAACAACGGTTGTTTTAAACCAGAATGACAACAAAGCACATCATTATGGGACATCTACAACAATCGAAGTTAAGAAAGATAAGGAAATAGAAGAAATAATTGATAATATTCAAAACCAAATAAATCATATATTTAGCATAGCTGGATGTGATGAGCAAAAGAAGAAAACTGAAAAGGGAAAAAAGAAATAGGAAATGAACAGCCGACAAATAACGTTACTGTTACGAGAAATGCGAGTGTGTGAAAAAGAAGCTTGTAATCAAGTTATCGTACATATGTACCTGGAAATGCAGAAGTCGAGAGAAATCTGCTCGTAGGTAGAACATGATCCCCTCAGTGGAACCGTCTAACGTCAAACCTCTTATCAGGAATATCGTCAACAGGAGATACGGCAGCAGGACAGTGACGTATACGACCTGAAAACAATCATTTCTGGCATGGTCATAACCTAACTGTAAATAGATATATACCCATAGAAAGAACATGCTCAAGAATGTGTTCTTTTGCCGAACATTTCATTTAAGCCGCCAGGGTTATTGTTAGTGTCTGATGTGTGAAATGACAATCATTCTGTTTAAGTTTTAATCTCCACTGGTAAGGCAAAACAAAAATTTCGATAAAATAACTCATCAAATCAAAATATTTAAATCACTACTTTCAGAATAAATTGTAAAGAACATATGAAGGTGAAATCATCTATAATTGCTGTTGTTATTGTCAAACACGTGTACACATGTAATTAATTCCTCTCAGTTACGGCTCTCAGTTATGCTCAAATCTTAGATTGGTAGCTGGTACTTAATATAAAATATAATATTCAGTTATCAATACTAGTATGTCAAATAAGAATATGAAAATTTGGTGGTTATGATAAGTAACTAACTAATAAAATAATGCCGCCGAGCATATCCATGATTTCTAATTTTTTAATGGAAAGGGAATCAAATTAATGAATCAGGAGAAAAAAGTCGATATGAGTCATACTCATTTCATGCAACCATAACGTTTTAAATATGTCGTCAATTTTGTCTGTACAGTTGACTCCATACATGCAGAACGCAGGAAACCACTGAGACAAGGGAAATAATCCATTCAGTTATGGTAGAGATTTCCCTATATGCAAAGCTTTCATTTCGATCTTTTGAAGCCTATTTGGGTAAGCTTGAACCCAAAAATTATGGGGTTTGTCATGTAAACCATTAATATATAATTAATTAATATATGATTTTAAGCTCAACATAACTCAAACGTATCATCGGTTACCTTTCCTACGGAGTATATCCCCTTAATAAGACACAGGAATGTTAACAACCAGGCTCCAAACAGGCAGAGGACTAGATGCCATTGGACTTCTCCGAGCTCCTCTATTCCACTAGACTTCTTTAAAACGTTGTATCTGGTGAAATATTATTAAATGTCAAATAACACACATTAATTCATCTTATTATTTATTACATAGTCAGAGTATCATGCTGTTACTACAGACATGTAAGCTAGGTTTTTTCTCTCATATAACCAATCTGATTTATGTATGTATTATTGTTATACACAGGAAGCATGGTAATCTTAAATGGATGTCAAGTCTTGTAGTATTTATACATTTGTATTTTTAGATGGTATAGGTATGGCTCATATGTGAACGAGTCTTCTTTAAGTGACCTACAATATGAAATTATAAGGAATGGGGTTGATTAAGGTAAATCTATGAGCATTGCTATAACCTACTTCATATCAACCCGAGACCTTTATATCAGCCCGAAGGAAGGGGGGGGGGGGGGGGGGGATTACATAAAATAGCTTCGCCCGTTGATTATCTTCTTTTCGCAGCGCAGCAAAATAACGAAACAACGATTTTTTTAATGCGGAATAACGGAATGACACATATCAGCCACCATAGCTGATGATCCTACCTAGCGTTTTGTGTTCGTTAGTGCGTCGTTCACACAGTGCCGAATATGGTTCCCGTTTAAGATCAGACAGCGCTACGACACGAAAAGCGAAAAGGTCGGATTACTATCCTCAATGATCTGGAATGTCCTATCATTGTCTGATCGGAGTCGTATACGTTCGTAACAGAGTCCTACGGATCGGGTATGGTCCAGAGAGGTCGGGCAAGCACTCCAGACAGTTAGGTGCGTCCCGTAACATTCGGGAAACTCAGCCGATGTTGTCGTTGTGACTATGTCGTGAGAGATTCTGCTGTATCGGACCATTGTTACCACATTGTTAATATGATATAACAACAATTAACGTGATAGCATTAAGACAAATCCATTGTAAAGTATGCGTGATTTTTCTGGAATGTGTTTAACCAGAGGTGATATGACGCATGCTTGCGAATATGGGTCGGTCCGTGATATCGCGTGATATCACTCATATCATAGATAGAGAATAATACATGCCCTTTTCTATATCATACCCAGTATCAACCCGATACTGCAATATCAGCCTAAGGGCCGAAGGCCCGAGGGCTGATATTGGTCGAGGGTTGATACTGGGTGTGATATGGAAAAAGGCGTGTTTTATTCTGTTTATTACATGCTTACTAATAAAAACTACTATCTTATTATTTATTTTTATTTTTGGAATATTGAAAAACGAAAAAAATTCCAAAAGGGGTGTGATATGGGTTTTGCTGGCTGATACGGGCTTTGGGGTGTGATACGGCGGGGGCTAATACGGGTTTTGGGGTGTGATGCGGCGAGGGCTGATATTGGTAAGAGCAATTGTGTCGTATCGCATATACAAAAACCTCGTATTTATAAGTAAGTATGTAATAAAGAGATATATTACAGCTTACACACAGGAGCTACATCTAGTTGTAATAGGAGATGTGATACATTCGATACCACATTTTGTAAGACAATGTACAATTAACAGTAGAGATTTAAAAAGAGAATCTCGAAGGACATAGTTCTGTAAAACAAACACTTGGGGTCGATGAAGATAAAATGAATGGTTCAAATTTCAACGCAGTGCGCGTGTACTGATATAAGGCCTTCAGTATGATCTTTACAATTACTTCGGTCTTTAACCGTTGATGCATAGCAAAATCAAAATGATCCCCACGTAAAAAAATGGATAGCCTTTCAATGACTGGCCATTATGGTGTAGGATATCAATGTGAGATGGCTACGGTCTGATTTCAATGATATTAATTCACTCCTACGTTTTTTCACTTTAATTGTAATGTATAAACCAAGGATAGCGTACCAAAAATGTAGTAACTAACAAAGCCCAATATTAGTATTACTGTAGGCAAGTAATTGTTCAGTTGTCGCTAGGCTGAAGGAATGAATTGGTGTTTTGTTTCGTTCTTATGCAAGTTGTTCTCGAAAAAGGTAATACGATGCCTGATCGCTGTATATAAACGGGTCTGATGGTAGTAGCATGCCTGATCGCTGTACATAAATGGGTCTGACGGTTGGTTCATTCATCATCATTCATAAATAGCTATGCCGTCTTTGCGTATTGCAGAGTAATCTGCTCTTGTGAGGAGGTATTGATTGTCCTTTTTTTGTGAGATTAACGTCATCAATTTTTGAGAAAACGACTTAATTTTCTCACACAAACCAATGACGTAACAATCAATACCTGCTCACAAGAGAAGATAACTCTGTAATACGCAAAGACGGAATAGAATCAATTGCAATATATTTTACTGCGCGTTTTGTTTCAAACTTTATTGATATACACCCCGGGAGAAAAAAATATACACTATCAAGAAGCGCCGTACACGTAACACTGCAAAAATGTAATTATATAAGTGATACTTTTTTATAACGAATTTATTGAAACGGGGCCAGGCAAGCAATTAGGTCATGTACCTCGGATTCTGTCGGTCTAACGAAATGTGCTTCCTGATAAAGGCTAGTATCCTACCCTAGTCGTGCTAATGTTATATACAAAACAAAAAAGGAAGACTAATCATGTTCAAAAGACGACAGAGGAATCATGTAGTGTTGAGACAGTCATCAGGAAATTTACGGTGAATACTTACTGCCAAAATTCCAACGCTGCTGTGTTGTAGGACAATATATCAGCTGTCCCATTGCTGGCCGCTGTGCTGTTGTAGCTATTAACCTTCTCAGTCCCATTTATCATATCGGTCACGTTGACATGCGTTGTTGTATTGGTCAAAAGAAGGCGGTCAGCACGACTCACAATACATTTGTCGGTATTCCAATCATTATCACATGTAGCCCATGGGATATGGGGGAAGAAGGCGTGGACCAGATAATAAATAACCCAAGTGATAACCAGGTTGTAATACCAGGACACTACACCGGATATGATTATCATCAGAAACCCTAAACCTGTCAAAAAATTACATAAAATGTTACCATTTAATCATTTACATACCCTACCTCATACATTGTATAAACCCAGTGGGCCGGTGTACAACATACAGTACGCACATTACTAGAAATAAGGAGTAGGGAAGGTGCCTATCTAAACATCAACAGGTCGTTACAGAAATAAGGAGAAATGAAGCGCCTACCTAAACATCAACAGGTCGTTACAGAAATAAGGAGTAGGGAAGGTGCCTTTCTAAACATTGACAGGTCGTTACAGAAATAAGGAGAAATGAGGAGACAACCTAAACATTAACAGGTCGTTACAGAAATAAGGAGAAATGAAGAGCCTACCTAATCATCAACAGGTCATTACAGAAATAAGGAGTAGGGAAGGTGTCTATCAAAACATTAACAGGTCGTTACAGAAAGAAGGAGTAGGGAAGCGCTTATCTAAACATTGACAGGTCGTTACAGAAATAAGGAGAAATGAAGCGCCTACCTAAACATCAACAGGTCGTTACAGAAATAAGAAGTAGGGGAGCGCTTATCTAAACATTGACAGGTCGTTACAGAAATAAGGAGAAATGAAGAGCCTACCTAAACATCAACAGGTCGTTACAGAAATAAGGAGTAGGGAAGCGCTTATATAAACATCAACAGATCGTTACAGAAGTAAGGAGTGAGGAAGCGATTATCTAAACAGCAACAGGTCGTTACAGAAATAATAAGTAGGAACGCGCTTCTCTAAACATCAACAGATCGTTACAGAAATAAGGAGTAAGGAAGCGATTATTTAAACAGTAACAGGTCGTTACAGAAAAAATAGAAGTAGGGAAGCGCTTATTTAAACATCAACAGATCGTTACAGAAATAAGGAGTAAGGAAGCGATTATCTAAACATTAACAGGTCGTTACAGAAATAAGGAGAAATGAAGAGCCTACCTTAACATCAACAGGTCGTTACAGAAATAAGGAGTAGGGAAGGTGTCTATCTAAACATCAATAGGTCGTTACGGAAATTAGGAGTAGGGAAGCGATTACCTAAACATTAACAGGTCGTTACAGAAATAAGGAGTAGGGAAGCGATTATCTAAACATCAACAGGCCGTTACAGAAAAAAGGAGTAGGGAAGAGCTTATCTTAACATTAACAGGTCGTTACAGAAATAAGGAGAAATGAAGAGCCTACCTAATCATCAACAGGTCATTACAGAAATAAGGAGTAGGGAAAAGATTATCTAAACATTAACAGGTCGTTACAGAACTAAGGAGAAATGAAGAGCCTACCTTAACATCAACAGGTCGTTACAGAAATAAGAAGTAGGGAAGTATCTATCTAAACATCAACAGGTCGTTACAGAAATAAGGAGTAGGGAAGTGATTATCTAAACATTAACAGGTCTTAACAGAAATAAGGAGTAGGGAAGTGTCTATCTAATCATGTATAGGTCGTTACAGAAATAAGGAGATGTGAAGCTTCTGTCTTAATATTAATAGGTCAAAATAGAAATAAGGAGTGAAGAAGCGCCTTTTTAAAACATGAAACTTCAATATAGAAAACCAAACATGCTTAACATTTTACTGTATCTAAAGTGGTACTAAACCACCATCAACATTAACATAATACAGTGGTAGGTTACTAGCAGATGTGCTGTTGACACAAGTTACTTATTGTCACTATGGTGTAAAAACGAAAAGTAGATCGAAATAAAATGTCTTGATTAGGTTTACAAATACCTTCAAAGAATATCAAACGATCAAAGAATATCAAGCGATAAATATTAGCGCTTAAATTTAGTTCCAAACCTTAAGTGATTTTTGCTAGACGGTGATATACAAGTTTTCGTAAGTGATAGTTAACAACATATAGAATATATTAACTATGAATGTTAATAGATCATTAATGGATAACAGCACAGATTAATGCTTCATTTCTTTTCAGTAAATTTTATTGAAAAATCAAAAGGATTGGACAACAGGCTATGCCTATATAAGTCCTCTCCTAGCCAGAATTACAAACAAATATAAACTATATATAGAAAGAAATAGAAAGAAATGGTACATGAAATAGTTACAGAAATAGTGATGCAAGGGGAGTAACTCCCATAGAAGTTTTAGTTAA